TTTGAACTCCTTAAAGGGGATTATGGGGGACAATAAAGGGAAGGATGATAGGGGCCGGGCAGCATTTCGGGAAGAAGCAATTTTTAAAAAAAGTTCTTGAAGCTCTTACTGGTTGCCAATGCAAGCTGGTGCATAGGGTAGATAGCAATTCTTGCCGAGCACTTCTCAACCGAGAGGGCTTTGGCGGTCTCAAGCACGTGGATCTTGCGTTCCTTTGGTGTCAAGAAAAAAGGAGGGACACTGTGAACACCATCGGGAGTCAATTTTGTCCGTCCGACAAGGAACCAAACCTCATACCGCTCCTCGGTGCAAACTCTTGTCCTACATGTGCGGTGTTGCAAGTAGTGAAGTGGTGAACATGGAGAAGCGCATGTCGGCTATGATGAGTTTTTGGAAGGCGTGGAAGGAGAGTGCAATGAAGAAAGCTTTTGCCAAGACTTCAAGAGTCAACCTTGTGCACTTCCGCAAGATGCTTGCTTTCAGCCTTTTAGAGCTTGGTGCCTCATTTCCTATGTCTTCGCCCTTCAACTCCGATGGCAAGCTTCTACCTCATCAACGTCCTCATGGGTGCGCTGGTGATGGTCTTCTTCGTCGCGATTGTCTTCTGGAATTACATCATCAAGGTGAAGGGGGGCAACAAAGTGGTGCAAAGTGGAATCTCATGGAACCTCCTGTGAACAGGCTGGCTTGGCTGCTTGGTTGCGACTGTGCTTTAGCCTTTGGCTTCGCTTTTGGCTTGCGGGCTGGCTACCTGGCGCTTTAGTCTGTTGGAATTTCTGCAGGTATATTGGGTCGGCAACCGCCTGACCCAAGACACTAGGTCAAAACCTCTCACTCTCAACCCTACAATCACCCTCTGGCACTACATTGCCAAAGCAGCTGCTGCCACTGACCGTTACATGGATAGCAATGTTGCTGGCCTCTGCTAGCTTCTTGGAACACACACGTCTGGTGAAAATGCGAAACGCAAAAAAACATTCTTGCGTGCTTTCTCTCATGTCCTGCTGCCGATAGACCAGCCGTTTCACAGTGACATGCTTCAATGCTCTTTGCCTGCGACTGGTTTCAAGTAGAGAAAAATGGCCAGCTGCTGGTGCACTCACCCGTGCAGTTCCCATCTGATTTTCAGACGAGCGCAAACCCTGAAAACAACACCACCAGCAAACTATACTCGGCGGGCGTGGCGGGCCTGCCAAAAGTTGAGTGCGCATGTCTCTAGACTCTGCGCAACCTTGGAGCACAAGAGGTTTGACGGGAGGATCAGGCGTTTGAAGACAGATCTTGCGACATTCGATCCTGCGCGCAGAAGTGCTTCAGACTGACACCTCTTCCCACAGACCACCCGGCAGGAGTAGCCCCTTGGTTCCTGCGTGTTCGTTCATGTCTCGCAGCCGATAAAGTGACAGTTCACAGTGACATGCCTCAATGCGACTGGTTTACAGGGCAGAGAAAATGGTCAACTGTTGGTGCACTGACCCAGGCAGACACACTCAAAACCCCGCCCTCCAGCATTGGCGCCTTTCCGGAGCGCCGCGTGGTAGAAGGAAGAAGGTCAAGTCTCCTCCAGTGTGTAGAGGCATGTGGCTCACGGCACAGAGCGCGCCCGGTCAGTACTTAATTCGAGGAATCCTCTTTTCCGAATTTCCTCTCCTTCTCGAAGCTCGTAGAGCCTTGCAGGATCTTGCAGTTGTCATATGGGAGTATGTGCTGGTGTGCCGATCATCTAAGCGCGCTGTGCACTCTGTTGGGCAGCGACGATGTTTTCCTACTTGTGCGGGTCGACTAGCTAAAATGCATTGTGCATTGCGGAATTGGACCTCGGAGATGTGAGTCTGCGCCCTTTTTTTCGTGTGCTGAAGAGCATGAATAGCCAGGGAAGGATGGCTTTGGCCTCGCTTTCCTACATGTGGCGGTCAACTTACCAAAATGCATTGTGCCCTCCGGAACTGGAGCTCGGAGATTTGAGTCTGCGCCTAGTTTTCGTGTGCTGAGTAGCATGAATCGCCAGAGAAGGATGGCTTTGGCTTCACGTTCCGAGCATTTGTGTCCACTGTTCCATGGAGATTCGACTTTGAGACACGAAGTTTCGCTATGCGGTAAGCTGCTGTTCTTTGCGGTTTGGGTATGCCTTTTGGGATACGAACCGACGTGCGCTCGTGCTAAATCAGGCCGATGAGCTAATCCAGGTAACTGTTGCTGAGGCCATCAAGCGTGGTAAGGTTGCATGTCAAGTGTGTGCACCGGGAAGCACAGCATGAACAATTTCTTGAGATGCTGATCATGCAGCGTTGGTTTCAGCGAGGAGTTTTGTGTGGCGGCTAGCCGGCGCAGCCATGGATATCACTTGTTTTGTACCTCGCTTAAAGTGATGCTCATGTTGAAATGCAAGCAGATGTGTATGCAACTTGCATGGTCCCAATTTGAAGCCAATCCAGCTTGACCAATCACCACAACACAAATCCAAATGCCTTGATCTCCGGCAAATGCTATGATTTCGTGCGATGCTACGCAGAGCATCTTAAAACCACTACGGGTCCGAGTGACCAAGTGCTTCATCTCACCCCTTTGGCCGGTCCCCGCCCAACTTGAAACGTGTGTACGCGGGGTATTTCGCCCATTTGCAACTCCGACTTCCTAATGTGATTTTCATGCTGTTGCTCTGCAGTATCTCATGCTCCCATGTCAGTTTGATCCTGCAGGTGTCTTGCTATGCTCAACAATTCTACATAAACATACGGTTCCCTTGCCATGACGCACCTGGGTAGGCTGGATGCCTGCTTTTTGTGGTTTGAACTTCCGTTCTCAATACCAAGTGGAATTCTTCAATCAGTCGCAATCTTTTTTGCGGACACCGAAGTTAGCCAGAACGGATCTGGACCGCTTCAGCCCTGTGCTCTGCGCATCCCATGTTTTGCGCCATTGCGCGCATGTCTTGTGGACCGTCGTGTCATCGCCTTGAAGTCGTAATTTGCGTGTTACGCCAATTTTGACAGTCATGGTTCTCGTTTTCTGGCAGTGCAACCCCGTTTTGTGCAACTTTTGTACACATTTCTCAGAAATGACGTTTCCCTTATAATGAATAATTGTTGTCACCATGTATCTTCATGAAAAGGTGTAATTTTTCAAAGAAGAATGCGCATGCAGGGTCATTTTTGGTTAAATCAATTGGCAACAGTGGAGCCATGCATGATCTGCGACAATATTTGTGCAGCCATCAACGAGTGCTCAAAGTTTTGATTGTCTTACGCTCGCACCATCCTTGCAGCCATGTCCAGCGTTCCCATGCAGTCCAAGCGTGGCCTTTTGACATTGAAGTGGAAGTTTTAAGCTGGACATTTGAGCATAGGTTGTCTTCAATCCAAGGGTTTGGGCTACTAAATTTCCGAGTCGTGTTACATGTGAAAACAATGTAATATGTTGCCAGCCTTTGAGCGCGGTTTTTGTCAAGATTCACGCTGTCATGCAAGTTGTTGCAACTGCGACATTGTAGCTGTGTCAGATCATGCGGTGTTGCTTGTAGACAGCGAGGAGAAGTTTCCGAGCCACGAAGAGTTTTCAATGCAAGCTACTGCAAGACCAAAACAGAACATAGATTTCCACCCCAGTTGTGCTAGCCCACAATAATTGGAGGTTGAATCTCGAATATCTTCAATGCGTGTTCCATTTTGCAAGCAACCATGGAGCATTCGTGTTTTCTGTGAACAACCCATGTGTGCGCTTGTTCCCCATTTTGTTTTGCACCAATTTGCACCATCTCGAGTTCCCTCTGATTACGCGTCAAATCTACGTGAGGCCACTAAGATCCCTTTCACGAAGCCAAAGTTGTGTACATGGAGTTAGACCCCCACCCATCAACAGTGGCAAATCAGGAATATATAGAGGCTCTCATTTAATTTCCAATATATAATTATCTCTTGTGGTCAATATTAGTGGGGGGGGGGCCCAACCTAATCTATACATGTTCTAGATTATCCTTATTTTGGGCTTGCCAAACTAAGGCATAGGCATCAAAAAAAGAGGAGGCATCAAGAATAATTTGCCAAACATCAAACAATAATTTGCCAAACACCAATAAATAATTGAAGCCGTAGTCTTTTCGCAGCTATTGTTCTTATCGGTATTGCTACCAGTATACGTAATCTCCGATTTGTATTGTGAATACCACAATTCCCAGTTCATTCTATTCTTGCTAATGTATAGTACATTTATCCTCATGTTTTTGATGCTTATCAAATCATTTTTTGATACGGTGTTCTTGATTTTTGGGTTAATTTTGTCGTGATCAAGTTTTTCTTGCTGCGTCACCCATAGTAAACCCAAGCCCCTTATACTTCAAATTCTACATTACGTTACAATATTTTGTCTAATTATATATGTCCCAGCAGCATCATGTACAATTATGTGCGGCCTCGAACAGGGGCATGCATTTCCACGAACGTCCTATATCCCTTTGGAAGGGGACCTCAAATCTTATTACTTATCCGTACTTATCCTTATGTGATCCCGTGTTATCCTTTACAATCCCTTGCATTAATATTTTCATTTTCTTGAATCCCTGCACTATCCACTTAGATGATTCTACGTAATCCGTACATGCTGCTGTAATTCCTTTCCAGCCATTTAAACGCAATTCTACAAATCCATTATCGTTTCATCCCATTACAAGTAGCGCTGGATAATCCCTTTTGATCTTTACATGTCCTATACTATCTAGCCTCAAATACAGCAACCATGCAACCGTACCTAATTCTATATATCCGTAGACTCAGACATAACCCAACATATTTTTACATCACTCTATGTATCCCGCTTACAGGAGACCTCAAATTTGTTCTTCCAGTCTGGACCCTGAACCTTGTAATTTCCTTGCAGCTCATCTTCTGTGCATACTTCAGTATACATATGTACCTCATATCCCCCAAGCCTGAACCTCGAACCCAATATACAGTCCTTAATTTTCTGATCTCATGTTTTAAATAAGGGTTTGCTTACATCATTCCCACATCATTTGATCGAGACCCCATCTTATCAAACCCTAAAACAAAACACCCTGAACCCTAAACCGCCGAGTCGTCCTGGCCGCTGGCCTTGCCGCCGCAGCAGCAGCCCCCCTTTTCGTGGCACCCTCCGCGGGCCGTCCGCTGCCTAGGGTTTTGAGGGCTTGGAGGGTTTAGGCGGTTTTAAGGATTTAGAGTTGATTTTTCCGAAGTTTGGGAGTAGAGGGATGTCGGTGCCTAGTTTCGTAGGCCCAAAAGGTCCCACAAGTCCAGGCCATTTTCAATCAAAGGCACATTGGCTATTTGATTTGGTGTCTAGGATTCTAGATGTGAGACATACTTTCTTCAGAGGAAAGCGGAGCCTCTAAAGCAGACCAAGAGATTTGGAGGGCATGTCTCACTTAAGGGGCCTTGGCTTTATGCGGTTTGTCGAAGAAGATCCCAAAAACTATTTCACCGGGTCCGCTAGAGAATGCTAGAGATTTCATTTCTTGTTCAAAGTCCTTTTCAAAATCCATTCTGCAGACATCGCACCTTCAGCCCGAAACCCTGTTCTTGAAGCCACAAATCAAAAAGTGTGCCCCCCGAAACTCCAAACCTTAAGAAACAAGCATCTCTAAACCCTAAAAACTCTAAACCGTAAAGCCCAGAAATTCCAAACATTTGTAGGCCCTCAAGGCTAGAAACTCCAAACATCGCTAAGCCCCAGCATCTCTGAACATCTCTAAACCCTAAACCCAAAACCTTAAACCCCAAACCCAAAACCCAAAACCCCAAACCCTAAACCCCAAACCCTAAACCCAAAACACTTAAGCCTAAGAGGCAGCGCCGAGCCTGCGACCGCTCTCCGTGGTGCTTCCCAGGCCCCGGTGGCACAGCAGACGACTTCGGGCAACCTGGCAGCTCTGGACTTGTCTGTGTAAGGAAACCAAAAAAAGGGCTTAGGGGCTTAGGGTACAGGTTTTAGGGTTGTGGATTTTAGAATTGGGTTTGAGGGTTTAGGTTGTAAGTTTTAGGGTTTAGGATTTTTAGAATTAGGGTTGAGGGTTTAGGTTATAAGTTTTAGGGTTTAGGATTTTTAGAATTAGCGTTGAGGGTTTAGGTGATAAGTTTTAGGGTTTAGGATTTTTAGAATTAGGGTTGAGGGTTTAGGCTTTAGGGTTTGAGGTTTAGGGTTTCAGCCTTTGGGTTGCTTTAATTCCTTTCCCGAATCAGAAGCAGCAAGAGGGGTTAGGTAGGGTATATAGGGGACTGCAAAAGAAAACAACAACTGCCGTATGATCCAGTTTTCAGGGTTTAGGGCTCAGAACTAATACCCCCCTTCCATATTCAATACCATCCAATATAGTACTAGGGGATGGGGTTGTAAAAAAGCCTTTTGCGCGGGTCCCTGCTGGTAAAGTCCTAAAACTCACATAGAAATGCTGTTGTAGATAGAGCTGGTGTTTCATAGTTACCTTCCTACTTGGAGGATCTTTTGACTTAGCAAGTCCGGGGTTGTACGCATCTCCGCGTTTCGTGTGCTTGGCTGGGGTGGGGCTTCATGGGGCCCAGACCAGAAAGGTGTATTGTTAGTGCCACTAGCCTCACTAGCCTCACTAGCCCGCAGGCCTTAAAATCGGGTAGGCGGAAGCGTGTAAATTTTGCATGCGGTTTGTAGGATTTGCAATTGTCACAATTGAATCGTGAACTTCTTGCGACCATGTTCTTGTCCTGTCTTGCACCCCTTTTCAAATTAACCTCGAGCACAACCTTAATCTTCCCAATCCTAAACCCTTATACCTGGACCCCTACAACTCCCACACGCCTCCATTGATGTTTTTAGGAGTTCAGACTGCGGGCACCGTGGCCGCCATCGGCGCCTTGGCCGCCCTGGGTGCCTCCGCGGGCGCCAAAAGCAGCCGCAAAGCCCGAGCAGTCCAGGTCAGTGGGGGAGGGATTCTAGGTAGTTTTAGGGTTCAGGGTTTAGGGGCATGTTCCGATAGGGGACAGCGGCACAGTTTGGAGGCTTGCAGGAAAGGGTGTAGTGGGTTGTGAGTCTGCAGTTTTCGGGTGGCCGCAGGGCTTAGGTAATACTCTCGAAGAGGCTGATGAATCAGGCATGTTCGAGTTTATACGCGGTTTTTGTTCGTCTGCGGCGTTCTGCACTTTCGTGTCGCAGGTCAGCAGTTCGCGTTTCTGTCCATGGGATGGAGCTTGTATCCAAGACAGTGATTTTTTGTTTATGATCCTAAATATGTTTCGGTTGAAGTTTTTCTTTGTGACTTTTGATTTTTCCGAGAGGTTGTTCTAGCGTCATCTGATGGTGCGTCCACGTGGGGTTTCGCTCACCTTCTAACACAGCTCCATGCTACTTACCTTCTTCCTTCAGTTTCGACTAGAATCAGGTATCTGGCTTGCGGGATGCAGATAGCAGCTGCTATCACAACACTTGCACTTCCCCTTGCTATGAGCATTATGACGTTATGTGAGCAATGTGAAGCGTGGGTCTTGAGCATACAGGCGCTTCTAAGTAAGGGGTTTCTAAACCCTAAACCCTATATAACCCCAGTATAGTTGCTTCCACTTTATTTTCCATTTTCCCTCTTACTGACCCCCATAACGCTACTTTGTCCCCGTGTCTGATGGCAGGTCGCCCGCCAGTCGGTTGAGACCTTCCAGCAGGGTGCCATGGAGTACCCGGCAGCCTTCGAGAAGATCGCGGACGTCAATGACAAGGCTTTGGCGGCCTAGTTTATAGGGATTGAGTCCTATAATATGGATATAAACATACATCCATATGTATATATATATATATATGGTACATATATATATATGTAGAGCAAATCATGTGTTTCTGAATAGCGGCTGCTTGTTTGAGCCTTTTAAGAGCAGCCCAGTAAAGGCGGAGCAGTGCTATTTTGATCCCGCATAGGCCCTGTGCTTGAACAAGGGTCCCAAATTCACCGTAGAGGCTAGGGTTTAGGGTTTAGGTTTTAGGGTTCAGGGTTCCGAGACAGCTACTCCCCTTTCAGCAGTATTTCGCGTGAGTGGTGGGAACTCTCGATATCCCTGTATATGGTGGTTCCCATGTATAAGGAGCCCCTGATATAGACCCCAAAATAGTAGAATCCTTAGTATGGGGAGCCCGAAGAAGATACCCTCATTTTTGAGAAACTTAACTCCATGTAGGTATGTATGTATGTATGTATGTATGCATGCATGATGCATGTATGTATCTATGTATGTATATATATACACATACATATGTTGTACATAGCCCGTATATCCGCCAAAAAAAGGGTAGGTACCCTTGGTCTTGGGAAAATGCCCATGTAGTTCTCTGGCAGGTTCAGGCAAAATTTCATGGTAGATAGTGAGCAGCTTTCAGCTTTCCATGGAAAACTCCAATTCCTTAAGTCTCAGAGGGCGTTGGGTCTAGGGCTCAAGGTTCAGGTTTTAGAGTTTAGAAGTCTAGGGTTCAGGATCCAGCTTTTAGAGTTCAAAAGTTTGGGGTTTAGCGTTTCGGGTTCAGGTTTAGAGTTTAGGGTGTAGGGCTCAAGTTTAGGGTTTAGCCCTATGCTCTGCCTGGACTAGCCCAGAGCAAACAAGGCGAAGACATCAACATGTTAGGGTACAGAACCCTCTTGAGTGGGTAAATGAGTTAGTCTAGATAATCCCTAAACTCTTAACATCCCTATATTCCCCTTTGTGACCCGTACAGTCATGGAGTTCTAGGTAACCTCTTCACGGTCCCGTCAACGCCCTAAACCTTTAGACCCTAAACCCCTAAACCCTTAAACTCTAAACCCCCAACACCTCAATCCCTAAACCCCTAAACCCTCAATCTGAGACCCTAAACCCCCCAAACTCCTTCACCCCTTCCGTTTCCGCAGGAGAAGGATGCCGACATCATCTGCACCATCGGCCCCAAGTCCTGGGATCCTGAGGTGCCTTTTGGGTTTACTGGTTCAGGGGGGTTAAGGAAGTTTAGGGTTTGGGTTTTAGGGGTTTAGGGTTTATTTAGGTTTTAAGGGTTTAGGAATTAGGGGTTTAGGGGTTTAGGGTTTAGCTTTGCAGGTCTTTTAGTCTATTGTACGGTGCTGCAGGGGGTGTAGTATAGTGGGGAAAGGAGTCTTGCTTGGGTCAAGGTTTGTATCCCATTTCAGCCCCACTGGCACCTCATGTAAGCCAGCCACAGACAGACATTTCTCAAGGCTGGCCTCCAGAATCATTTCTTTAGGCTTTACGAGACAAGTTGCAATCCTGGCACGAGCTCCCCTAGCCTACATATGTTATGATCCCCATTTTTAGCGCACAGCCAATCTTCATTCCCCTCAACCGTCATACCACTATCTCCGATCTACTTGAAAAGCCGCTGATCCTTGTGTTATATCTTCTTGGATGTTTTTACTTAGTAAGTCTAGTTGGGGACTGGCGTTATAGGGCCTATAACGAGGCTTATTAGGGATAGTAGGTAGACCTACTCAGAACAAGGATCAAGTTTTACACCACCGTGAAGCCCAACATCCAAACCTCCACAGTAACATCTTTGTTGCGTACAGGTGCTGGTGGAGCTCATGAAAGCGGGCATGACCGTCGCTGGGTCGTGCTTTGTGGGAAATACCAAATATCCGTTTATTTGGGAATAGACCTCAGCTGGTATTTCGGTTCAAAGATCTATTTGAGAATTATTCTTTAATGAAGAGTACTGAGCTCTTTGAGTGCAAGGAGTAGGTGACAATACCGACCAGTAGTTGACTTCCAGCCTGCGTTCAGGATCCCTTTGGAGCATTCCATGGGTCAGGTCCGGGCTGCATGTTGCTATTTTGACTGGTTCGGGATTGTGTAGGCTTGCTCCAGGGAGCTCCTTTTCAAACTTTTCCTTGCAGGCCCGCAAGACCAACCGAGGTCATCCGATGCAACATGTCCCACGGTGACCACGAGGAAGCCGAACCAAAGTTTGGATGGTATTTGGGACTTGTGCGAACTCCCCCATAAAGTTCCCGAAGCCCCTCCCCAGTATTTTGAGAGACCTCGGTTCTATCACAGGTGCAGCCGGTTGATGCTAAACATTTGGCCTGATCCTGCTGAATTATTTCATGCCTCGGGATGTCTGGAATTTTGCTATGTGGGTGGTTGTCGAAATTATGGTCCCTTTTTGAGTACCCTAAATATTAGGTGCCGTATTATAACAGGGATCCAAAAAAGGACCATAATTCTGACAACCACCCATCTCAGGTTCTTGCCACATTTTCTGTTCCAGCGGCTCGTAAGGGTTTGGCCCTGAAGTGGCGATTCAAGGTGCGAAGCTACTGGAGGCTTCCCTTTGCAGCTTCCGGAAAACACGCGCACTACTTGCAGTTTCCCAGGGAGCCCAATACCACTTAGGTCAGGAATATACGCGAAATTGTGCTAAGATCTCTGTTGTGACTTAAGGTATATTCCTGGATTGTGGGGTTTTGGGCTTTCTGGACTTCCACAAATACATCTTTCACAATTTATTCCAAAGCACGGCGTGCTGAATGGTATTGTAGACCTGTAGCCCTACAGTGGTTCGTCGTTTCATTGCAGAGGTAAAGCTTGTGTGTAGCAGCAAGAAAGTTTGCAGGGGTGGTAAGGCAGGGGACCTCAGAACGGCATAATCTGGCGTACGGCTTCAAGAGAAAACGGGTTCCTACAACACACGACCTATCAATTCAGCAAAATACCCGAAATCATGTCTACGGATCCCAGAGTCCCAGAAGAAATTGGGCATATTCCCTTTTGGGGGGGGGGAAACCTCAAGCTGGCAGGAGCAGAGCATGAAGCTGGCGAACCTCGAGAAGGTCGGTTGGGGCTTATAGGCTTCAGGGTTGGGGTTTTGAAGTTAGGTGCGCTTGATGTATGTGAGTAGTATTTTATTTGGGGATACTATGGTACCCAATATAGAGTAAGATTACATCCTCCCTTTGGGGTATAGTATTTTATATAAGGAGTATAATCTTACTAGGTTCAACCACCAAAAAAACTGCTCATGTGGCTGTAAGTTTAGCATACACCAGGGGAAAAACCTGAAGCTTGTTAACAGCACTCAGCTCTTAATCCCATGGCCTCTATACCCCCAAACTCCAAACGGCAACCCCATAAACCCCAAACCCAACAAGTTCTGCTGCGAGGCCTACGAGCTCGCGCCGGAGTTCAAAGGCAAGATGAAGGTGCACTTCATGCCTAAGCTTGTATAGATAGGTTGAGGTTTCTCATTTGTCGGGGTACTTTGAAGGACCCTAGAAACACAGGCATTACAGGCGGTTCTTATTATGGTCTAAAGTCCTTATATGCCCCCTAATAAGCCCCATAATAGGACCCATAATGTTGTTTCAGGTTGTCCACGCTTGTCCAGGTTAAGACTAGGGTTAGGGTATAGGGTTTGGCAGGTTGCCTTTTGACCCCTGAAGGCTTTGATCTTGGGTGGCAGATGCCTGTAATTCGCTCTCACAGCAGTCTTAGTATTGTGTTTGATGTTTGAATGCGCTTGCATGTCTAAGTTAGTCCATGCTTGTACATGGTCAAAACGATGTTTTTAAAGAGTTGTATACGGCCAGGACTTCTGAACCAACCTACCCGAGCCATACATTCCAGACCTCAGCTGCAGTCCATGCATGTTTCAGATGCGCGTGTTTAGAAGGACATGTTCCACCCAAAATCCTAGTTTCAGAAATCTGCAGATCCTCATGGACACCCGTGGCCCGGAGATCCGCACGGGCACTTTCGAGGCTTGGCTATCTGCAGCTTTTGAAGAGACAAGCTTTTGAAGACGGTATGGTTCAGACATTGATTGTTGCGACGGGGATTGTACAGGATGTCTTTGGGTTAGCTAGGGTTTTTGCTAAGCTTGCACTGCTGTGTAGTTGGGCAGGGGTCAGACAGGGTTTGTATAGAAGACCTTGACAAAGGCTCTGTCTCACGTCGTGACCCCTGATTGTCATTGTTACTTGTCCTTTAGCTTATACGTTGATAGTGAGCCTTGGAACAAGTAGGTTATCACAGTGGGTGCTCGTCAGGTAACTGAAGGGAATGGACATGTTGATGCAAAACATTTAGTCTACCGAAAGACGAAAATCCCAACATTTTCGGTAGTATACCAGAATACCATAATTCGCAGAAGTTTTGAGTTGCAACCGAGTGACCCATCACTCCCTTGGGCGGGAGACAGAGAAAATCGACTTAGCAACCAGGTAATAGCCTATAGTTGCAATTTATTGTTTCGTAATACAACTTATACCGACTTGTAAATTCCTTATGAAGCTCTACATGTAATCCCTGGCTGTTTCGTAGTACACTTCGCATATCAATGCTAAGCGTAGCTCTTAGGGTTCAGCGCTCCTGAACCCTACTACTTACTGGTGCTTAAGGGACAGAGGGGGAGTGGATCCCTTTGATAATTCTTATAAAATCCCATGAAGACCCCTATAGTGGTACCTATATTCATTTTCCCACCGTAAACCCTATATTCACTCCACCACTCCCCCTTAAGCACCAGAAAGAATATCACCCTAGTATCTAGACCCTGAACCTACACCCTAGCCCTGGGCTTTAGGGCACCACTATATGGTAGTGTCCCCTAACCCTAAACCCTAAACCCTAAGCCCCTAAACCCCTAAGCTCACAGGTTTCATACCCTACCTGCCCAGCCCTTTTGCGCAGGTCTACAATTCCAAGAAGGAGCTCAAAGCTGGCCAGGACACATCAGAGTTTAGGGTGTTAGGGTGTTAGGGTTTTAGGGTTTAGGGTTTAGGGGTTTTAGGGTTTTAGGGTTTAGGGGTTTACGGGTCGAGGGGTTTGAGGGGTTTTAGGGGTTTAGGGGTTTAGGGTTTTAGGGGCTTAGGGGTTTTAGGGTTTAGAGTCTCAATCTGGGATACAGGGCTCCTTGAAAGAGGACCCCGCCTAGTATTTAAAAAAGTCACGTAATGATAGGTATTCACCGATGTATACCGATTTTTATATGAGCCATTGTCTGAACTCCTAGTATCCCCCTTAATAACCCCTATAGTAGTCCCCTATATAATCCCTTATACAACTCCCCCATGAAGGAGTTTAGAATGTAGCTCATATTGCGAGCATATTTGGGAACATTTGATATTAGGAGGGTGGGGGTCTGAATTACTCGGGCAGGGCAATAGTGCCAACAGAAGCCCTAAACCACCGTAAACCCTAAACCCTAAACGCTCAATAGTAGTTTCCATTTTCTTTTCCATTATCCCTTTATAACCCCAACAGAACCCTAATATAATCCCTTTAAAGGGACCTAGGGTTTCCATTCTCTTTTCCATTATCCCTTTATAACCCCCAATAGAACCCCCAAACCCTGTGGAGGACTTCAAGCTTGTCACCGACTACAGCTTGAAGGTGGCCTGCACGCAAACTTCCTCTGGGTTGCTATAAAGGAACCTAACTTTAAGTCGCCAGAACATAGACACATACATGTATAGAAACTGTATATGATATCATATATATATATATATGTATATGTAAGGGGACAATACAGCACCTGAAGCAAAATGCCTTCGCCAACTTGAAGCTTTCCCACACGCTGCACGCTCGTGAAAGGCTTGAAGCCCAAACCCCATCTCAATACCGACCATGGTACTTTCCATGGTAGTTTCCAAGTATCCAGAAACCCAAAGAGATGCACCTTGGATGGGGGCTTTTGTAGATTTATGAAGTAAATTAACATGGGGATGGATGCGTTTCCTGGAGGTTCAGGATACTTTTATCCCAGTTGTAATTGCACTTATCACCCCAATTTAAGCCCCCTAGATCTTTCCCTAAGCCCTATACATTTCCCTAACTCCCTACTAACCTAGATCCTTCCCTGGACCCTATACATATCGACTTATTCCCTACTAGCTGGCTGTCAGGGTGATGAGAGCATGGTGGCCATCACCTACGAGCAGCTTCCCAAGAGCGTCAAGCCTGGCCAGCGCATTCTGATCCAGGACGGCGGGAGGGTGCAGGGGGTTAGGGTTTGGGGTTAGTTTAGGGGCTCAGGGTTTAGGGTCCAGGGCTCAGGGTTTAGGGCTTAGGGTTGAGGGTTTAGGGTTTAGGGTTTAGGTTGTAGGGCTTAGGGTTTGGGGCTTAGGGCTTTGGGCTTGGGCCTAGGGTTGAGGGTTCAGGGTATGGGGCTTCGGGTTTTGGGCTCAGGGCTTGTGTTTCCCTTGAAGGACGGCACTGTCATCCTGGAGGTGACAGAGGCCAAGGATTCGGAGGTGCTCTGCAAGGCAAGGATCAACGGAGTTGAGGGACTCAGTTCTTTGTAGGAAAGATGGGAATATATTGTATAGGGATAGGGACCATATAAGGATGATCAAGGGATTATATGAGGAGGGTGTTGGGGGGGATTTTATTCCGTTATTCCCTACTCAGAACCGGTGAGATTTTAGGGCTTTAAGGGTTTTAGTGCAGGCATGTCTCGGGATATCCAGGAACATATAGATATGTATAGGCATACTAAGGCCTGTAGAAGGGTATTGAGTGTTATATAGGAGGACAGCGTGGAGGGTATAGGCTTTGGGGTTTTTGGTATGGATTCGTTCTGTAAGGCGTAGGGCGTATGACCGGGTCATGTAACTTGGTCACCTCGTACCCTAAACCCTAAGTCCTAGACCCTAAACTGCGACGGGTGTTTAACATGAGAGTACTTTGGAGCCCCTGTGTATTTCTGTATGTTGAGCAAACAGCAGGGGTCAGGGTCGAGGTGCGAGGCTTGCAAGATTTTTAGGATCCGGAGTTGAGGGTCGAGGGATTTTGGGTTCAGGTTGGGCATTTGCAGTTTATGGGGGTGCGGGAACTCCCACAGATCCTACCACCTGCCCACGCCCAACGCTTGCTTTACCCTGCAAGGTGGTCAACAACTGCAAGCTGGGTGAGAAGAAGAACGTCAACGTGCCAGGCAAGGCAGTTGCGCCCTTTGTTTGGCCATGGAGTCAAAAGCCAGTGCTAGCTCTCATCGATGCGCTTATCTATTTTTTTTTAGGTAGTCAGTGCGCCAACGGTTCCTTGTCAAGACTTGCACCTTTCGTTTTTTTGGCAGCACCACGAAGCACGAGTCTTCTATGAAGGTCTTTCAACTCTGATTCAGGTATGTAGGAGGTTTCGAAGTATTTTCACAGGATCCCTAATTGAGCCCTACAATCCGTGCATATTCGCGAGTTTTAGACCTCACATATCTTATATCCGTACATTGCATACCCCTACATACCAGTATATACCATCACATAGACAGACCCCAGAGGAGAGGGTTCGGGTCTGCTAGCAAGAGGGGCCAAGTAATTCTGATTACGAACATGCTTTCCCTATAAGCTACTACAGAATACATTTTTCTTTCATTTCAATTTCATTTCCATCTTGTTTCATTTGATTCTCCGTTATTGGGGGAATATTTCCTGAACCCTAAGCACTATATATCCTTAAAGAACCCCTACATCCCTGTCAAAGGTGCCCCTAATTTTGGCAAACTCGCATTTCGGAATTTGTGCCATGGAGGATTCAGGATGTCCAGTACCACCCTGTGCAATCCAACAAGCGTCAGGTTACATATATATATATATCTATGGATTTTACGAGCTATAGACTAAACTCTCCAGAGGAGTTTATATGGGGGATTAATAGGGCCCAATCGGGGAGAACATAGTAAGGTAGGGGTTACGAGGGGGGATACTGGGAGTTTTGACTATGGCTCATACATGTATGGAAACCCTAGGTCCTGCTAAAGTGGTATATAGGGACTGTATAGATATATACAGGGGCTATTTCCCCCAATCATGGAGAATGAAATGGTAAAGACCATGAGGCATCACATCGAAACGGGAGTTGCAAAGCCGTTTATGGAAAGATGTTCTTTATGCATTGTGCCAACATATCTCAGATTTTAAGTAAAGTTTTCACAGGCTTCATACACCTGGCAATATGAGATCATTAGCCGAAAAGGGTCCCCAATGTTCGGAACATCTCACGTATGGAGCCCGCAAAAAATGCATTATAAATTTCCCAGATGCACAATCACGATTTGTGAGCCCTAAACCCTGAACCCCTAAACCCAAAGCTCTCATGCTATTCACCAGGCCTGACTGGGGCAGTCTCCAGAGTCACCCGAATGTATAAAACAAGATTCTGGATGACACAGGCAGCGAAATAACAAGAAGGATACCAATTCATAATACATGAATAGTAGGAGTGATAGTGATAAGTATTGTCACTTTAGTAATGAGGATAGTAATAGTGATAGTAATAGAACCCTAAACCCAAAACCCTAAACCCTTAAAAGACCCTAAACCCTAAACCCTAAGTAACACTGATGCAACAGGCGTGAAGGTCGACATCCCGGTTGTCGGCGAGCGTGAGGTCAAGGACCGGGGTGTAGATTGGGAATTTGCCTTCACGCGAGCTATACTCTAAGCTCCTTAATGGGAGGCTGATATAGGCCATTTTATAGAGGAGTATTTCTATGTATTCCTGTTATACCGTATACCACGACCAATTACTGGGGGGCCTGACTCAAGAAATTCCTACGGTTGATAGTACAAATCCTGCATGACCTTAGTATACTATTGCGCCCTGGTTTCCACGGTACAAGGTACTTGGGAGAATTTTTGGCATTCACCGTATCGGCTCAGGACATCGCGGAGTGGGCTGTCCCGAACAACGCGGACTACGTCGCCCTGAGCTTTGTCCAGCCGCCTGGCAGTGCGCACTTTTCTGAAGCGACTCTACTTGGAGGTTCGTTGTACTTATAACCTACTTAGTTACTGTAGTTATAACCCAATTATATCTAGGGTAACTGGTTATGGGATTTATACTTGGGTATAAGTACAATGAACCTCCAAGTAATGGGACCTCCCCAAACAGGGACCCCGAGAATATAGCAGCTTGCTCTTTCTTCCGGTAGGTATTTTTTGCCCAATTAGACGCCTGCCTATCAGAGGTCATTGCCCCCTCCCTGCAAGTTTTTGATTTGGGGTTGCGGGGTTGGCGTGTATTGTGATGCAGTTCTAGAATCATGGAACAAAGCCTCATCATCTTTGCATGAGCTTTGCTAGTTCAACATCATCTCAGATGTTTCTGAGATGAGTCTGGAAGCCCCTTGGAACCCTTTCAGATCTAAACTTTCAACCCTAAACCCAAAACCATCAAAACCCTAAACCCTAAACCCTAAACCCTAAAACCTCAGCCCTTAGCCTTCTAAAGCCGCCTGAGATTCCCAGGAGCGCTGATGACGTGAAGGAGTGCCGCAAGCACTTCGACGGGAAGGACATCAAGGCTCCCAGATGATTTGGCGTTTCAGGGTTTAGGGTTTAGGGTTTCAAGATTTTGGAGGTTAAGGGTTTAGGGGTTTGGGGTAGATGATTGGGGTAATATATGAGGGTTATATTAGGGTTGTATTGGGGTTATGTGAGGGTTATAGATTATTGGGGTTTCAAGATGTTTTGGGGGTTAAGGGTTTAGGGGTTTGGGGTTTCATGTTTTGAGGGCTTAGGGTATATAGGGTTTCGAGTGTAGGGCTTTGGTCATATGGGGCTTAGGTTTTGGGCCTTACGGTTTGGGGCTGTGGATTTGGGGTTTCAGGATTTAGGGCTTACCTAGAGGAGCTGAGGCCCTTAGAGAAACATAAAGATACTAACAGCTTTTTAGCATAGGTGTTTGGGTTATTCTGAGTAGAGCTTTAGGGGGGAGCGTGGCTTTCACTTGAGTTCTGCAGATGCTAAATCAAGGGGTCTTCTACGGAGGTACACAGACTATACTCCTTAAGGAGGGCTTATAAGGGAATTATATAGGGGACTTCTACAGGGGTTACTAAGGGGGATACTAGGAGTCTAGACTACAGCACATATGTACAACCACCCAGAGCACACCCACAACATACCCCTTTGTTTCCGGGTTAGTGATATGCAGATTGGTATATCAGGATTACACGGGCACTGAGAGAAGGTATTGTCTACCAGGACGCTCTCAAGGAGCAACATGCCAGGAACATTAAGGGATTTAGGGTTTAGGGCTTGGGTTTGGGTTTTGATCCCTAATTCCCGGAAACATGTTAGGGAAATAGAGTCTAGGTTATCTAAGGTTGGGTGTCTGAGGATTTGGGGAACTCAACCCCCAGACCCCTGCGACCCGGGCTCCAAGCCTTACCTAGCGTATTTTGTACCTAATATTTTGGTATCTTTACTTCCAGCCTTTGGCCCTAAACCCTAAACCCAAGCCGTACATTTGTCTTTTTGTACCTAATACTTTCTACCCTTTTATCCTCAACCCCAAACCCTAAACCCTAAATCATGCCTCAACCTTGAACCCTAGTTCCACAGACCCAATCCCCTGTGCTTCAGAGGTCATCTCCAAGATTGAGAACGTTGAGGGTTTGAAGCCTGCGGCTCAGGTATTAGGGTTTAGCGTGAGGGTGAGGGTTTTCGGGGTTTAGGGTATAGGGTTTAAGGTAGGCTCAGGGTATCCAGCAAGCTTGATGAGCCCCTCATATCGTTCTGAGCTTTTAAGTTTAAGGTTTTGGACTTAGCCTAGGACCCCTTTAATCAAGGAACATAGCCTACTATGCTCTCTGAAGATCTGTTCTTTGAGCAGGTTGTATGGGAGGGTACAGGCTTCGTGGCTTCAGGGGCTGAGGGTTGTAGAAATGTACACAGTTCTTGGGTCAATCCCGCAACCAGTAATGGGCACCATAAGGTACTGTTGCAGGTATATTACGGCCCTATTAAGTCCCTATTCAGGGGCTGTTACTGTGGGGGGGAACGACCTAGCACAGTTCTTGACGACGTTGGGCCACCGGAGGAGTTCCAACTCGTCACGGAGAGTCCCATACGTCATTGGGCCTTGAAGCACCTTTGGATACCTGAGAGCTGCTTAAACTGGGTTTAGGGATTTAGAGTTTAGGGTTTAGGGTCCGAGTTTGGACAAATGGGGGCTTCAAGTCACCATGCTATCCCCCCCACGAGAGTACCCCCACGCCCGCAGATTCAGAATCCCAACAGAGGCCTTATTCAGCCTTGCATAGTCCGTAGTAGCTCATCAAACTCTGGAGAGATGTGACCCTAAACCCCAAGCTCTAAACCCTCAATCTCTTAAAGACAGCGCTTGCGCTAGCTACCGCAGGATTTGAGGTGTTTCTGATTTTGTAAGGCTTAGGGTTTAGGATCTAGGTGTAAGGCATTCATAACTTTGAGCATAGCTCCTTTAAGGGAAGGTCTTGCTTAAAGAGCTTGCAAGTCTGGATTCCTGCTTTGGAAGAAGCCCCATCCTCGCACCTCAAGAAGCACCCTGGAATCCAAACAACAACAAAAAGGTAGAGATTACAACGTTTTGAATGCAGACCCTTTTTTTAGGTATATGGGTTACTCTAGATAGCACCCCGGGACCTTCATCTCCCCTATATATGCCTATATGCCCCTTACGTCATTCTTATACTCGCCTTTATAGGTACCTAAATGAACACGCACCCAGGCACCCCTAAACCACCGAATGAAAACGACAAACAGGAGCATGAAGCTTCAAAGGCCAACTTTTTATGTTCCTATATATCCCTAGAGGAAAGTTATACATATGTGCATACATCTCCCTATGTAGAACGCCTAAGTTGTAGGCCCTCAACCCCCAAACCCGAAACCCTAGACCCTAACAGCCAGCTAGGAACTTCGAGGAGTGCTGGCCTCAGATTTTTCAGTCGGTGCGCTCCGGGTTTGGGTTTGGGTTTAGAGTGTAGAGTCCAGGGTTGAGGGTATAGAGTTTAAGGAGAGCTTCAGAGTTCTGGGTTTGGAGTTTTGAGTCTAATGGGTTTTGGGTTTAGACTCCTATAGGTGGTTTTAGAGTTTTGTCAGGGGTCAAGGTTTTGTCGTCGGGAGTCCTTTTCCAGACGGTATACTTCACGGATTCCAGGTCTCTGCTGAAATCGTGTCAGTAGTATTTTATTTGGGGATACTATGGTACCCAATATAGAGTAAGATTATCTTCTCCTTTTGGATATAGTAGTTTATTTAGGGAATATTATCTTACTAGGTTCAACCACCAAAAAAACACTACTCATAAGTGGTTCTTAGGGAATGCAGGGAGGATGCTCCAATGTGTTTCGTTCCCCACTGACCACAGGTAAGCATAAGCCCATCATAGCATTGTTGCGATCAGAACTATCAAAGCCCCCAAGAGGGGACCTAAAGCGCTAAACCTTAAAGCCTGAACTTTGAACCCTAAATCCAAACTCTACGCCCTAAACCCTTGCTTTAATGAAGCTCATAGTTAGCCCAGGATCCTGTCTGAGTCCGATGGCATCATGGTGGCCCGTGGTGACTGGATTCCATCAACCGTAACCGTATGAAGTTTGAGGTTCAGGTTCATAGGATCTCTACACTTGAGTTGATGAGTAGCTCTGAGGGGAATACCAGTAGGGTAAGCATGTTTAACACTGAATTTGGGGGATCCGGTTTTAAAGCTACCCATGAACCTTCGCATAGTCCTTGTGCATTGCTAATATGAAGGGGTTGGGCTAGATATGACAACGCAGTCGTGGATTCAAATCTAAGGTTTTCAGTTTTTACGAAATCCAGCTTTCTTGACTGTAGCCAAATCTTGGCTAACATCTGACTTCTGAATGCCGTGAGTTTTTCATGGATGTTCAAAGTATGCCTCTGTGTATGATTGTGTCATAGCAGCATTGATCCGAGTGAGAAAGTTTGCGAAGAGAACAAAATTGTTCTACATTTTGTCGTTGTTGTTATGGGTTTATGTTCATGACAGAGCCGTCCTGGCTCCAACAGAGGATGTTGCAACAGTCCGTGTTTGTACGAGTGTTGTTGTGCTACCCATGCGGAAAATCGCCAGATGCAATGCAGTGAGACTCTTCAGATGACCCTGCTCTTCCCTGTACAATAGGGTTTCAGGTTTAGGGTTTAGGGTTTAGGGTTACATCCCCGCTGTCCCACAAGCTACCCTCCCCAAGCTAACACGGAACTGTGATTTCGTCCCTGACCACTACATACAAAACCATGCCCCATTTCTTTCACCAAGAACCTATAACCCCTATTATATATCCTATTATAGTAGCGTCCATTTTCTTTTCGATTATCCTTATAGAACCCCAATATACAACCCTATTATATACCCTATTACAGTAGTTCCATTTTCTATACTCCATCATCCCTATAGTAACCCCAAGATGTAAACCCTTTTATTGTATCTACGTAAGGGAGACTATAACCCTTAAACCCTAGATAATAGTTTCCATTTTCTATATTCCATTCTCCCTATAGTAACCCGAATATATAACCCTAAACCCTAAAACCCTGAATCCCAAACTCTAAGCCCTTATATATTCCTACTATACCTGGCCAGCCCACAGGTGATCTTGGCATGGAGATTCCCATGGAGAAGGTTTGGATGGCGCAGAAGATGATGATCAAGAAGACCAAGGCGGCTTTCAGGGTTTAGGATTTAGGGATTTAGGGTTTAGGGTTTAGGGTTTAGGGATTTAGGGTTTAGGGAAGGGTTCCAGGGTTTAGGGTTTAGGGTTGGGGATTTAGGGGACATGGGGGATAATGTTGGTAATATTGGGGGTAATCTTAGGGTTATTGGGATAATGGAGAGTAAGCTGGAAGCTACCATAGGGTTTAGAGTTTAGGGATTTAGAGGTCCAGGGTTCAGGGATTTAGGGATGATGACGATCAAGAAGAACAAGGAAAGGAGGGACAATGGAAAAGAGGGTTCAAAGAGGGCATTCTCCAACCAACGGGGCTGCCTGGTGGTGCGAGCTTTACTGTAGGGCTTGGAGGTGTAGGATTGATTCCTCCCGCTAAGTAAGGAAAACACCTTTAGATGTGATGGTCTTGACATGCCTCAACATTTTTCATCCAAAATACTTTCCCTGCTGCCCAGGCCGCCGGCAAGTACGCCGTTTGCGCCACGGAGATGCTGGCATCCATGGAGGACAAGCCGTTCCCGACCCGCGCAGAGGCCTGCGACGTGGCCAACGCCATCCTGGACGGGGCTGATGCCGTCATGCTCAGCAGCGAGAGCGCCATGGGAAAGCCCATTGATGCACATTGATGTGGTTCTTTCAGGGGGCCCCAATGTAGATCCACAAACACTATAATTTCTCATCATTGAGGCCCCAACAAAGTACCCCTAATTCTGTTAGTCCCAAGCCCATGCACCCCTAAATGACCACAGGCTCCACTTGGTTTTCCGTTTTTTCCTTTGATTCTTGTTATTGGGCTCACATATTCCTATTTCATCCCTGTATACCCCTCAAAGCGTCTTAGGGTTTCCGTTTCATGTCTTCTCTTCTGTTTGATTCTCCATTATCAGGGTAATTTCAACAGTTGGCTTCCCGAGCTGCTGGCAGAGTCAGCCTAAGTGCTAAGCCCTAGTTGGTGGACAATGATAGGACTAACAAAAGTAGTGTGAGTAATAATGCCAGTAATGATGCAAGTAGCAATTTCGGCAAGAATGATATTAATAGCCGTAGTAATACTAGTAATAACAGCAGTATGAACAGTATTAATAAACCCTAAACCCTAAAACCTAAACCCTAAACCCTAAACCCTAAACCCGAGGTTCCCTGTCGAGACGGTCAACACCATGAGGAGGATTGTTGAGGAGGCCGAGCATGCGCTCGTCTCCGATCTCGTGGCGGCATGAAGCCTTTGAGTTCTTTGCAGTCTCACTTCTAGCACTCTCTTGTGAGGACGCTTCCAGCTTCTTCAGGATGAAGTTATTCATCCCCCCTGTTTCTGCAAGCATCAAAGGTTCAGATTCTGGTGTTGAAGGGATGTTTGTTTCCTGCGCAGCTGGAGGCGCACAGTTAAGGCTCTGCACTGAGCTTTTTCACTAACTTCGGCCCTCCCATGTGGCAGCATTCTGCTGCCTCTTTTCGGCCCCTGGGAACGTCCAACACATCACCTGCGTGACGTCGTTGAAAAGAGGAGGCAGGAATCCATTTGGGAGGTTCTCAAAATTATGGTCCCTTTTCAGGTACCCTGCATACAAGGTGCTCCGTTACAATGGATACACAAAGGAGGGGCCATGATTTGACAACCTCCAGTATCATCTCAACCAAGTAGTCACAGGATCCACAAGAACGCGCAAGATCCTACTTCTCGGCATGTGGATATCTTGTTATTTTGAGTCCTTCTTGGGAGCCCCAGAAACAATGCCTTCCCTTTACTTACTGTGGGCTGCTGCGTGCCCACAACAGTCACTGGACTTTGATGGAGACCCCAAGATTTAGGGTTTAAGTACCCCGGCAAGTACTATATAATATAGTACTTGCCGGGATACTTAAACCCTAACCCTAACGTCCTATGACATTTTTGCCATATTCCTGGGGTTGCCTGTTTGGGGTCCCTACTTGGAGGGTCAGGGGGGCTTCGTAAGTAGGTTTAAAAGGGATCTAACTAGGGTTACTATATGGGTTATAGGGGTTATATTACCCTACCTACTAAATCTTCATGACCCTCCAAGCACCACAGTCCTTCGAAACGATCAGAAGTCAACGCCCAAGACCACATTGCTGGGATGGCGTGCAGGAGCATAGTGTCTTGGGTAACAGGACAGACTGCAGTCTGAATTGGTAGATTCCATAAATAAGGGGATCCCAACGTGGATAATCCTTCTTACGGGGACCCCAAACATGGTACCATCTTTCTTTGGAAACCATTACTTACCGGTAGCAGAATCGGGCGCTGCATGGCAGACAAGGGTTCCCTGAGTCCTTCTTAACTCTATCGCTCTTTTTTTTTTCTCGGCAGAGGTTGTAGTTGAGCGGCACCTGGCGGCTAACCCAGACCCATGATTGATAAACCCCTTCCCATCTATGAGATTATACTAGGGATCCTTATATTAAGGCCCTTAAGAGGAGGGGATTTATTAATCATGCGTCTACATTATGTGGCATCATTCCAGACATGCGTGTTCAGCACGTGCCATTCTTCTCCGAATTCATTTTTCAAGATCCGCCTATGGGTAGGGTTGGTCAAGTCTTGATGGTTTTGAGATTTTGGCTAGGTTGTTGTTCATTGTCCAGTGAGATTGTTGCAGTCTTGTTTGCTGTGATCGTTGCAATGTGGTCAAACCAGGCCGGGTTCCTACGACCGGTCTTTCGACGGTCTTGTGGTGAACGAACTTTGAAGCTGCCTCGAACAGGCGTAAAACGACATGAGACCTTTGGAGTGGTGGCTGTTTAGACGAGCTTGCTGTAGGTCGGCCACATGGTGCCACCATCGCAACCATTGCAACCATTGCGGCGTGATTCCACCCAGCCTGCGCAGATTTTGGGCGAGGTTGACTGCTGCCTTGCATCCAGCATCTTTTTGCTGCAGCCCCGCCGGGATGTAGACAGAGGCAAAAAATGTTGCAGGTAGCACTGCAAACGTTGTGGGGAAAATGCCTGGGAGTGCGAATACGTCACAAGGGAGTTTTCATTGAACGCAGCACGCATGTCGGCCATAACATTGCTGCACATCGAAGGCGGTTCGTGCTTGGTCTGAATGGTCATCTTCAAACGGCTATTCATGCGCATTTTTGAAGCAGTCAGGCCGGCCCACAATTTATTGATAGGTGCAGTGTTTCACACGCTATTTAGGGGCTGACGCCATGAAGCGTTCAGCCTTGGTAAGCCCACGCCGCTACTCTGAAATCCCGCCATTTTCTGTCGGTGCTTCCATTCGCAGCTGACGGTGCCGCGCGTGACGTAAATCAGCTTCTGCCCGGCCTACGCGCACACGCGGCGCGTCCCAACAAAACAGTCGCCACACACGACCGGGAATCCCCACAATGCCCGGCTAACGTGTGCGAGCGGACGGGCCGTTTCTGTCCTTTGTGGGGCTTCCCTTCACCCGATGACTTCTCTGAGTGTCGACTTTTTTCTTGCCGCAGCTGCTAGCCCGCAAAGAGGCCAGTTTTCCAAAAGTCTGTGCTTATGATGCTTTTGGGGATTCTTGGGAGATTCCTTCAAAATTCCTTCGAAAATGGTTTCGCTGCCGGTGGGGCAAGTCTCTGGAGCACATTTTGATTTGAGGCTGCTTTAGGGGCGGGGTGGCTTGGAGAAGCAAAGGTCCGATGATGCTGGGAAAAGGGGTCGTCGGTAGCACTGTGCCCACCGCATACGGCAAAGTTATGGTTACATTGTGTGATGTGAGAACAAGCAGGCATTGCCGGATGTTCAGCATGAAAAGTTGAGCTAGGTTAGTGTACGCAATGGACAGAGGTCAACGAATTCTCAGCTGCAACGGGCGGGATGGGATGTTGCGGGAACAACGTTTTTTGTTTCTGGAAGCTCTGCTGCCAACCGCCCGAACATGCAGCGGAAGCTTTTGACCCTGCGAAAGACATGCGACACTGGGAGGGTCTGCGCTGCCCGCACTGGGGACAAGTTTGCTTGCGTTCTTATTGGAATTTTGCGTTGCATGTTGCCAATCTACCAAATACGAGGTGGATCAAGCGAGTGCTGGCACGGCAACCAGTCAGGAGACCTGTTTTGGGTAGACCCCACAATACGTTGCGAAACAGGCTGCAGGGGTAACCACGGCATCGAAAAATACAAGCCGCGGTTTCAAGCAAACATTGCGATCAAGGAATCATTTCTTTGTTTGCAAAAAATCCTTTGGAAGCAACCTGATGCTCTTGAACCTTTGCTGGATCACATTCCGAATTTCCGTGAGTGGCAGCTTTCTTGTGATGCGTTTGTCATGTGTGTACCGCAGTATACAGATGTACATTTTAGTGCAGCACGATGTTGCAAAGCATTTCCGCTACATCTGCCTGCGCCCTAGAGGGCCGGCCTTATGGCTTGCATGCTTGACTTGACTTGAGTCAACCCAAGAGTATGGATTGTGGCAGACTTATGTTCCAAGGCGTTTCCATCAAACATGCCTGCATGGGCGCAAGTCAAGTCGCAAGGGTACCTCACATGCGCATGCGCTCATCATGGGCCAAGATCTCCTTGTGCATTTTGCCATGCCAAATTTTCTGACAAAGGAACCAAAATCTTTTGTATCGATGTTATACAATGTTGTCCATGTTGGAGAGTTGGAATGCATCTCCGGTCCCTTCTGTCCCCTCTGTTGGCCAGGAGACACATGTGTGTGTCGCCATGCTAATTTGCACCCGAGCAATTGCATTCCTCAAGCATCCGTGCTCGCTAAGATCCTGGCATGTGCCGTGTCCCCACAATTGGTGTTGGCCGAAACCAGCATTCGTCTTACCAGTGCCACGGTGTGCTTCACCATTCGTATTCTTTTTTCATCTGTGTTGGCATGGGTTTGACATAATGAAAATGCAGGAACGTAAACAAGCAGCTATGTTTGGGATTTTTTTTGACACAAAGTACCACATGAAGGAATGGTACGGGGGTACAGTACGGTAGTACGGGATGAGGGGCACACCCGACCGGGCACGGAAAGTATGGCACAATGCGCGCGGTGGTGCAGAATGATGGGAAAGTTGGTGCGGCACGGGGGTGGTCGGGGGTACCTAAGCTGTGGCACTGGGTACGGTACGCTGGTGCCATGGTGGAGGTATAGTGCAGGGGTAGGATGGCAACCCACCCCGGCACTGTACAGTATGCATCCTTATGCTGTACCCGCGTTCCTATCGCAGCGCGCCACTGCATGTTTTGTTCCGTGCCACCGTACCCCGCGTGTTGCAATAGTTTTCTTCCTTCAATCGTGTTCCAACGCATCCTTGCTTGCCAGGAAAGTGACGTGCGCTGCAAAGCATGCGCAAGCATCAGTGCTGGCCGACGTGAGTTTTTGCGTTACCAAAGCATGCGGCCCCGACCACACATGTTCCAGGGTCAGGGTCACAGTCAGAGTCAGGCCTGCTCGCCCGAAGGCGGCCCTTTCAAGGCGCAGGCAGTGAAAACGGAAACGTGCAAACATTGAATGGGTTGGCACCATCATTGCCTGACAAATCGTAAGAAATCAGGAGCTGTATCACGCCAGTGCTAGGGCATCTTCCATTGAATGTCAGCCGGAGGCCTCACAATTCGCCGCAGAAACCTCCTGAACGCAACATCAAACTGGCGAATATCAGCGTGAAAGAACACGTTTGCTCGCTGGAAACGACGGGACAGGTGGGAAGAAACAGTTTTAAACAACAGACTTTGGAATCAATCGCGCAATGAGTTCTGATGAGTTCCGATGAGATCTGATGAGTCCTGATGAGTTCTGATGAGTTCTGCCAGTTTGTCACCTGAAGAATAATGCAACGTCGCTGTTTTGGGGGTTGTATCGAACGGTACGATGGTTTGGGGCGGGTGAATGGGACGTAGGTCAAATACGGTACGGGTACATGGGACATAGGTACGGTACACAAGTGCCATTGGGGCGGTCGCAGTACCAACTACAGGGTGTGAAGCGCTTGGTTCGCAGGTAGGCGTGCGCACTTGTGCACACAGACAGCCATGGTCTGGGGCGGTAATTAAGGATGTCTTGATGTGCAACCATGCAAGTTCAGCGAGGCGCTTCGACAACTGAAGTTACATACGTCTTTAAAACATTTGTGTTCATACGCCTCGAGGCAAATTTCCTTTGGGCATCCGAAATCCCGGTTGCTCCTTCAAGTAAATATGTACCAGCTTGGCCTTGCAAAGGTCGTTGGCCCTGCCAATTGTCATCGCAAAGTTTGGGACCTTCTGCTGC